TGAGTGCAGGTCACAGTGAGTGTGTCCTGGGCTGAGTGCAGGTCACAGTGAGTGTGTCCTGGGCTGAGTGCAGGTCACAGTGAGTCTGTCCTGGGCTGAGTGCAGGTCACAGTGAGTGTGTCCTGGGCTGAGTGCAGGTCACAGTGAGTGTGTCCTGGGCTGAGTGCAGGTCACAGTGAGTGTGTCCTGGCTGAGTGCAGGTCACAGTGAGTGTACCTGGGCTGAGTGACTGTCACAGTGAGTGTGCCTGGCTGAGTGACAGTCACAGTAAGTGTACCTTGGCTGAGTTCAGGTCACAGTGAGTGTGTCCTGGGCTGAGTGCAGGTCACAGTGAGTGTGTCCTGGGCTGAGTGCAGGTCACAGTGAGTGTGTCCTGGGCTGAGTGACTGTCACAGTGAGTGTACCTGGGCTGAGTGACTGTCACAGTGAGTGTACCTGGCTGAGTGACTGTCACAGTGAGTGTACCTGGCTGAGTGACTGTCACAGTGAGTGCGTCCTGGGCTGAGTGACTGTCACAGTGAGTGTGTCCTGGGCTGAGTGACTGTCACAGTGAGTGTGCCTGGGCTGAGTGACTGTCACAGTGAGTGTGCCTGGGCTGAGTGCAGGTCACAGTGAGTGTCACTCAGATGGAGTCCTTACCTTGGAACCTGAGGTCTGCTGAAGCCATGCTGTCTGACTCACACCATGTCCTGGATCCTCACTCACACTCAGCTCAGCCTAGAAGCTCTCACTCAGCTCCAAACACTGAGCCTCCGCCTCAGCTCACACTCGGACTGTACCAATCCCGGCCGGGGGGGGGGGGTCCCTGCACAGCTCCTCCCTGCACAGCCTGTCAGAGCTGCCCACACACAGTGTGACAGAGAGAGAGCGGGGCACACAGTCACCGCGTGCAGGATCATAAACCCTAATCATCTCACACCGCACATAGGGGGAGCACCCCCCCTCCAGTCATAACTCGCAATGGTTTCTCCCAACCCCGTCACGGCCCCGCCCCCCGGAATAGAAACACGCAGTAATGGCCACGATGGCTGTGCGGCTGCCGCGGGCACAGTGACAGGAACTGAATGGTGGGAGTCGGATGTTTCCGGTCGGAGGGCGATTCGGACGGACAGCTAAGGGCAGCTGAAGCCGGAAGTTAACGCAGTGCTGGCAGATGATCATGGCTGCGCGCTGTGTCCGCGTCCTATGGCGGAGGTCGTGCTCTGCGGCCGCCACTGCGAACCCCTCACCGGCAGCGGAAATAAAGAAACCCGGCCGCTGGGAGAGACTGAGAACCGGCAAAATGGGTAAACCGGGCCTGAGAGCCGAGTGTGCAGAGTAACATGGGGAGTGTATGGGGGAGAGAGAGACTGGCATGGGGGGGAGAGAGACTGGCATGGGGAGAGAGACTGGCATGGGGGTATGAGAGACCTGGCATGTGGGGGGGGAGAGAGAGACCGGCGGCATGGGGGGAGAGGGAGAGACTGGCATGGGGAGTGGAGAGACTGGCATGTAGGAGAGGGAGAGACTGGCATGAGGGAGAGACTGGTATTGGGGGAGGGAGAGAGAGACTGGCACTGGGGAGAGGGAGAGACCGGCATGGGGAGGGAGAGATCATGCATGGGGAGAGGGAGAGACTGGAAAATGGGGAGTGGGAGAGAGAGACTGGCATGGGGGAGGGAGAGAGAGACCGGCAATGGGGAGGAGAGAGAGACTGGCATGGGGAGGGAGAGAGAGACTGCGCTGGGGAGGGAGAGAGAGACCGGCATGGGGAGAGGAGAGAGACCGGCATGGGGAGGGAGAGAGACCGGCATGGGGGAGGGGAGAGACCGGCATGGGGAGAGAGAGACTGGCATGGGGAGAGAGACTGGTAGAGACCGCATGGGGGAGAGAGACTGGCAGGGGAGAGACTGGCGCTGGGAGAGAGACTGGCATGGGGAGAGACCGGCAAGTACGGGGGATTGGTGTATCTCATAGAGACCGGTATGGGGAGTGGGGTCAAACTATGAAACTCAAACACGAGGCCCCACTAACACCAAAAGGAAGAAATAGTCACAATACATGCACACTGTCGCATATACACATTGATGCACTGTCTACCTGTGTGTGTCTGACAGTATCCGTGTGTGTATGTATGTCTCTGTGAGCATGTTTGCGTTTTTGTATGGGGTAGGTGATTGGGGGGGTGCAATAATGTGTGGGAGGTGGATGATGGTATGAGGGAAGGGGGACTAAATACCTTTTGTCATAACTTGGTGGTCCAGTGGGGATAACCGGTCTGCAGAGCTGCAGACCATTTATCTTGCGAGACCCGGTCAGAGCAGTGCTGTGGTAACCCGCAGCAACACTCTGGGCTCTGCACACTGAAGACTTTTGTCTGCGATTGGCGCTTTCTGGAGGGGTCTCGCACCCGGCGGCATATCACTGACCAAGAACCCAACACAGTCTGCCATTAGGCGGCCGCCTAAACCGTCTGGTTAGAGAGCCACCTCTGCTATAAATCCGTAACTGACCTCAATGAGACCGTAATGTAACCTCTGTGCATCCTGCAATAAACCTCTATATATACAGTAGAGGTTATATATGACATACACTGTCACTCATATGTCCCATAGCTCCCTCCCGTCTGTGTCACACTATGCTGGGAGGGACATGCCTCATAGCTTTATCTCACTGTGTCACTGGTTCCCATAACTCCTTGTCATTTCATTCTGCAAAAGTATAGATTAAAAGTACTATAACCTCCAGCAGAGATTAATATGCAACATATTTTTATTAAGTTGATATTTAAGGTAAAACACGAGACAGTGACATATGCAATAATAAATAAAACACTGACTGACCATATAATAAACAAGAAAATACAGATCTAAATAAATGAGAATTTCCAAGTAAGTTATTCATAAACTAGCAGCATGTAAACTACAAAAAACCACAACCAAAAATATCTGTTCAAATCGTAAGGCTCACTACAGAGTAGCTATGTATAAATGAGGGAAGAAGAGGGGAAAAAACTAAGTGAAATGTGATTTTCTGGCTTATTTATTTTTATTTTTTTTTCTGACAGCTGTGTGGATGAAAAGCCTCATTCATGACTATGGAGAAGCGTGCAAGGATATTGTAACAGGGGCCAAAGAGCATCCAGGCAAAGCTGCGTTTTACCTCTCACTATTCACAGGAATTGGCGTATGCTCCTCTAAGGCTCCTTCAGAGGATTCCTTTCACTGTTCTGTTTTAGAAGCCTCTGCCGAACTCCTCCTCCTTTCTCCGTGGACACGAAGTGGGAAATCTGACCAACATGTGCTGAACCTCACAAATCTGTCAAATGAAGGTCGTCTCCGTTACCTAAACCTCATTGTGGTTTCTCTTGTCTACGAAGCCCCCTATGACCCGGATGTTGATCTCTACCCAGCACACTGCCCACACCTTAAGCCACGTTGGTCAGATTTTCCAAGCAGGGTTCTAGATGTTGGGTTTTTTGGGCGTTGGTGGTTTCTCCAATCTAAGATGAAAGACTTTGATGTGAATGAAGAAGAATTTGCTCACCTTCCTGATCATATGAGGACACTCACGTTTAATGATCTGCACTCACAGGAAAATGAAAGGTTATCCCAACTTAAATACCAGCCAGTTATAATGCCAGAGACAGTTGGTGTGACTGGCTGAATTGTAAATTACTACATGTCCAACTAATTTGTGTACACTTGTATATTTAATAGGAAATACGGTAAATTTCTAAATAAATAATAGACAAAAAACAAGAATTTGTGTATTTTTTTTCTTATTCAAGATGTCTGCTTCTGCATCAAGCAAATTAATCTTTCCACATGATGCCACCTTCTGGGTGTTTCAATGCTACTACATATACATGGATTGCATGTACACCTCTATCTTTGTCCTATAACCTTTATCTCCATAATATATTAACATGAAATTGCGAACAGTTTGAGAGAATGCAGAGTTGGCTCCTAAGGACTGCTGTAGTAGTTATGGTGCTTAAAATGTTACGTTAAAACTATTTTGCAATTTGATCTCCCAGGCGGGTGGGGGGGGGAGAAATATATAGATATAGATAGATAAAATTTATTTTGTGATATTGAAACAATGTTTTTCTCCCCTGGCCCTTTAAAAGAAAGATACAAACTTCAGCTTGTGTACACCTGTGACTTGTATCTCCATAGACATTAAGTTGGATCTTGTAAAGAGGAGGAAAAGTAAAGGTTGTGATGCTCATAGGGTTAAAAGGGAGGATAGGTAAACTGGGAAATTTGTAAGTTGGGTCATGTGACTGATTATTAAAGGGACATTATAGGCAGAAAGAAAAAGAAAAAAATACAAACGCAAGAAATACAAATGTACCTAACCAACACAGTGGTAGGAATATACACGAGTACTTAACTTGGTATGAGATGAATGCAGCTTCCCAAGAGGTTTCCCCCAAACGAACCTCAAATGCAGATATGTAAATGGACAAAATAGGGATACAGCTGAATGACTAAAAAACATAAGAATACATAGTACATAGTGAAGTACCGTCACAATAATAAAATATAAACTTCAATGATTGCACTCACAAAATAGTGATGGATAATGCGCCTTTAAGCCCTCAAGGGCTGCAGTGGTATTCACCCTCCACGAATAGGTTGCTCTGTCTTCAAAGAAGTGGGAGTATGCCAGTGAAGTATAAAAATTTTTTTTTATTATTATTAAAAGGCACTAATAGGCCTATATCAAAAAATCAATAGTTAAAAGTATACAAATAATACTGCATCTAACGCGTTTCTTCCATACAAATTGGACTTCATCAGAGAGAATTTTTTGCAGTATACACAATATGTCAAATACAAAGCATGCATAATCCCACCCCCAACAGAGTCCCTTAAATATAACCAGTCCGATTGTTGATTGGAGAGTTCCTTTGTAGGCAGTCCCTCTTCAATAGAAACAATATTTTCCAGGTGATCGCCACCTTAAAATTCGCGGCTAAGATCAGCTGGTAATCCGTCCGGTAATGTTCTGCGTTCCAAATCACAACTTCCGGTTGCGTTCCACACATGGATTTCCGGCGGCGAAATAACCACGCACGCCCAGAATACTTCAGCTCATTGAAGTGGTCTGGGTGCACTGTCCCTGTTGCCCGTAGTCCTGCAATGTACAACTAGGGATCAACCGATATTGATTGTTTAGAGCTGATACCGATTTCTGTGAACTTTCAGGCTGATAGCCGATTAACTTACCGATATTCTGTTCATTTACCATTTTAAAAATAAACAATCTCTACACAAATCTGTTAACTAAACAGGTTTATTATTTGTTTGCAAATCTTTTTGTTTAATTAAGGTAAATGCACAAAATATATATGCCAGTCAGAATATTTTATGTTTTCAAGAATGTGTGTGTAATGGATTCAGCGAGAGTATTTGATTAGTGAATGCAGTGTGTTTGTAGTGTGTGTGTGTGTGTGTGTGTGTATATAATGAATGCAGAATGTGTGTGTTTTGTGTAGGTATGTTAAGTGGGGGGGGGGGGAGCATTTTATAAATATATTTTTTTTAATCCCCCTTCCCTGCTCTTTACATGGCCAGGGAGTGGGATATGGCATTCCCTGGTGGTCCGGTGGCATGGACTGTGCAGTGAGGGCCCAGCACGCTGATACTTACCTTCCCAGGAGCTCCCCTGTCTAACTCTCTCGGCCTAGTAACCCGTGGCAACGCTCTGACAGCCCTGAGGTTTAGACAGGGGAGCTGCTGGCTAAGTAAGAGTGTGCTGGGCCCCCCAGGACCATGATGGCGGCACTGGTCTGCATTATGGGCAATATCGGTATCTTTATTAGCCGATACTGATATTGCTGAAAATACAGAATATCGACCAGACTGATAATCGGTTGATCCCTATCTAAAACAATAAGGTCTTTGTGAAGTTCCAATGTTTACATTGCAGTACTGAGTCTGCCATATGGTCACTAGGGGTGCTTCTGAGAGTTTACAGGATTCTGGGTCCCTTAAACGACGCTGGATGTCTTAATGGCCTGCATGAGAACATCCAGCTTTGGGGAAAATCCCAATAGGAAAGCATTAATGTGCATTAAGTCCCCCGGTCGGAGGAGGCAGACCATCTATTCAGCGTCGATGAACATCTGCGCTGGAATCGGTTGAGTAAATAAAGTATTTTAACCCTTCATTTGCTGGGTGTGGCAGAATGAGGGAGGGGGCGACTAGAGGGCACTATAGTGTTAGGAATACAACTTTTAATGAGTCCCTTTAAGAGAAAAGATTGAAGTAAATATAACAATAAACAGGATGCATGTGCATACTAATGGCATAAGTCGAGGCTGACAAATTAGCTTTGAATTTAAAAGCCAGGTTTTTTTTTTGTTTTTTGTTTTTTTTTAATCTAACAAAGCTTTATTTTCAACAATAAAAATACAATTCTTAAAGGGATACTATAGTCACCAGATCCACTACAGCTTTAATGTAGTTCTCTAGTGGCTATTGCCTGTCCCTGCAGGTTTTCCAGAGAAAAGGCAGTGTTTACATTGCTAGAAGCACCTCTAGTGACAGTCAGAGGTGCTTCTTAGACTATGCTCTGCATGAAGGTGCTGAATGTTCCCCATAGAGATGCATTGACTCAATGCTCTATGATGAGGAGATGCTGATTGGCGCAGTGTGGTGGTTTGCCTCACGTGCAATAATCTCCCAATGCTTTCCTATGGGAAAACATTGATTTGGCATTAGATCATCAAGATTGATTATCTCCATCATGGAGGTACGACCAGCCACAGTGGGACCGGCATGGCGTGGGGGAAAAGGTGAGTAAAAATAACTTTCCCATGGGACTGCAGGGGGGCCGGTCACCTAAACACACTCAGTAATTTGACACACATATATTCTCTCACACACAGTCTCAAATTGTTTGTTTTTTTTATTTAAAGGAGCAGTTTAGTCAGCATAAGGCACCATAACAACTTCATTTAAAGAAAGTTGTTAAGGTGCCAGGGGGGTCTTGGGTGCACGCTTACCTTCAGGGGTTAAACTGATCTCAAGCGGTTTAATCCCATAGTTGCCTCCAGCGCTGATCTCAACTAATTCGCCCCCAGGCGGTATCCAGCTTCAGAATTTTCCGTTTCAGGAAGGGTGGAGTGCCGCCCTGCAAGGGCACAGCAGATTGGCTGGAAAAGGTAAGTTTCTTTCCAAACCAGTTTTGTGAATGCGGTGTCCCTGATTGTCTGAGAGCATCAGCTGACCACTCTTGGCCAACCGCTCGAGAAGGTAAGAGTGCACCCGGGGGCCTCCTGTAACCATAACAACTTCATTAAGATTAAGTTGTTTTGTTGCCTGGAGTGCCCCTTTCAGCCCACCCAGCCTCCCTTTCTTTGGGGTCCAGGGTAGCTGCTGAAAAGCTCTTGCTTTGCTCCCTCGTGTGCTGTTTAGGGATGCTGGGGCTAGAGTGAGGTTATAACCCGCAACCGTCCTTACAGCTTGGCGCGAGGGATCAGAGCAAGAAGAGCTTCGAGATTACAGCTCCCTCGCCGCCCTGCTTCATTCTGCCTCAGCCACCGCTGCAGAGAGGCTGATTCTGCAGACGCTGAACAGGCTTAACAAATCCGAGGTGCCACATTGCCATGGCGATGAGGCATTTTGCCCTGGCGGCTGGGATAAGTGTTATTACAAATTCAATATTCTTCCTCAGAGCAAGGTAAATTCATCTTGCGGATTCCTCTCTGGTGATGCTGTTCTGTATTCTTGACTATTCTCTTTTTGAACCGCTGTGTGTACGAAAAGGGGGTCCATCCGAAGAAATAAGTATAAAGGCTATCACAACATTAGGGAAAACAAAATGAAAAATATTGAGCCCCTAGATAATACTGATACAGTTCTTACAGGCAGCTACACCACCGAATCCACGAATCCAGTGTCTCTCTTCTCCAGTGAATAGAAATGTGGTAGAACAGGGGGGAATGGAATGGGGTGTAGGTGTAGAGCCTTGAATGTCCTTTGTGGTTTATGGAATGACAAAACCAGCAGAGAATACAGGGACTGATACTGTAGTAAGTCTCTGGTATTTGGAAGATAAAAAAAGAGAGATACACTTACACTATTCTGGATCTTACGATGTAGCTCCAACTTTAGCACCTGGGCTGTATGGTCACTGCCTACGGATGTAGTGTAGCTCTTGTATGGGAAATGGTTAGTCCTTTTGAGGTGTACCAGAAGAAAAACTAGCTTTGTTCTAATGCTAAAAATTAGCTGTTGTCAGTCACTAAGCTCAGTCTGATTACTGTTCTTTCTATGGGCAGGATGTCAATAATGGAATATCGAGTCTTAAGAAGATTATCCTGGTCAAGTCTGGACAGGACTATTTCTTTCCTTATCAGGTAAGTTATATTATTTACATTTCAGCTGCCTTGGGCAGTTCCTTCAATTATGGAGGAGGAGTATTCTCTTTAATTGTTTCACTGTGTGACATTAAAATGGGTTTGCTTAAAAAAAGAAAGAAAATATCTATGCTTTACACAAGCAATGCCTTCTCTTGCCCTCTTCCAGGATCGCACGATGACTGTTACAAATATATATCCGTTCTGGATGACCTTATGCATAGCGTGAGAACATCCTGCACCCGGAATTCCCTCTAGTGACTGTGTGGTGTTAACCCTGGATAGTAATTATTGCAGTTTCTCAAAATCTGCAAAAATTACCTTTGCAGGTTTAAAGGACCACTATAGGCACCCAGACCACTTCAGCTCAATGAAGTGGTCTGGGTGCTAGGTCCATCTAGTGTTAACCCTGCAGCTGTAAACATAGCAGTTTCAGAGAAACTGCTATGTTTACATTAGGGTTAATCCAGCCTCTAGTGGCTGTCTGACTGACAGCCGCTAGAGGAGCTTCTGCGCTTCTCACTGTGAAAATCACAGTGAGAAGACGCTGGACGACCATAGGAAAGCATTGAGAAATGCTTTCCTATGGACTGTTTGAATGCGCATGCACATTTGGCGCTGACGTCGGCAGAGGGAGGAGAGTTCCCCAGCGCAGAGGGAGCTCGGCGCTGGAGAAAAGTAAGCTCCTTTCAGCCCAGCGGGAGTGGGACACTGAGGGTGCGGGGGGGGGGGGATCTAAAGACCCTATAGTGCCAGGAAAACAAGTTTAGTGGTCCTTTAAGGGACCAGGGATACTGAACACAGACCACTTTAATGAGCTGAAGTGGTCTGGGTGCCTATAGTGTCCCTTTAAGGCAAAACGAGATGTCTTCAGCTTCATTGAGAAATCTCCTTTTAACACCACTAGACCACCTGACAAAATGTGGCCAGGGGTGGTGCAAAACACTCAGTGCCTTGGATCGATAGAGCCCAGTCACAACTCTGTCCCATGCAGATTATTAGTAGGCAAATATACTGTCAAATTGGAAAAATTCTAGAATTCTGTTATTATTCTAGCACAGCTGTTTTGGTGTAAAATTTGAGTTATCCTGGTTTGTTCCTTACAATGCACGGGTTATGGAATGACAGTATGTTGAACTTCAGGCTTGCTTTAGACAAGATTAATCCCATGACTGCTAAACATAAATAAAATAATGTGGTATTTACAGAGCAGCTAGCTTCACAGCCTTTATGATTATAGGGACACTATAGTCACCAAAACAACCTTAGCTTAATGATGGAGTTTTGATGTATAGATTATGCCTCTGAAGTCTCACTGCTAAATTCTCTGCCATTTAGGAGTTTAGGAGTCGATGACAGACAGGAGGCTTCTGCAAGGTTTAGCAAGCTATTAACAGTGCATGAGATAAGAAATTCTAAATTAAACAGAATTTGCAATAAAGGAAGTGTAAACATTAGATGATTCGTTACAGGAAGTGTTTAGGAAGGCTGTGTAAGTCACGTGCAGGTATGTGTGACTAGGGTTGCATAAACAAAGTGATTTAATTCCTAAATTGCAGAAAATTGAGCAGTGACACTGCAGGGGCATGGTCAATACACCAAAACTGCTTCATATAGCTAAAGTTGTTTTCGTGACTAAAGTGTATCTTTAAGAATGAAAGTTGCTTTCATTTTGGATCACAAAAATTCAAATGTTTATGAGAGAATAACAGAATGGTCTAATTTGAGGAATCTGGTCTAAAAGCAGGTGTTTGTATTATTCTGCAGTTAAATATATGGCCACATGGGGGCATTTAGAATAAAACTGTTGCATTCTATTGTTAAATTAATATCCTTTTTTTAAAATTAAAACATGCCATTCTATATAAAACCCTTTTGTAGTTAGGGAATGCCAAAAAGCAGCTGTTAAAAAAATTACAGTTTCCGTAATACTTTACCAGCAAAGCACCGTGGGAGACTAGTTGCACAAAACCTTGGGCTACCTTTCGATTGCCCCAGTAATTTAAACGTAATTTTGTCATTGAGGCAACAACAGAAAAAGATATGTTATATGGCATACCGTTGCTCAGTGACTAATACAATTCAGGAGTCTAATTACAAATTATTGGCAATGAGATTTCCAGACCTTAATTATTGCATTCAATGAACTCAGATGGTCTCTGGTGATGCAATGCACAAATTGCTATTCTCGTTTGTATTTGGTGGTTATGTATGTCTGTGCATTTTTGCTTCTTGGCTGAGGTTATGCTGGGAGATTCGTTAAATATGAGTTTACTTTGCTACAATTTTGAGATTAGTAAAAAAAAAAAAAAAAAAGCCTTTGTTATGTACAATACAGCCATTAGTGATCCGTTTGTCGGACATCTCCAGGGCCAACTAGATGATTTAAAAGGTCTTTAGTAATGAACTTGGAATGCACTGTTGAACGCGTTGGCGCTATATAAATGCCTATAATAATAATAAAGAGATTTTCCAGGTCCTGTAAAACCTATACTTTATGCACAGTTTATGATGCTAGGAGATCGCTAGGTCCCTTTTTCTTACACATACTGTCTCCTAATGGCAGATATGCACCCAACAGACGCTGTCAGCCTATCACTGGCCTCAAATTAAAAAAAATTCTTTAAAAATATACATACCGTACCTCTCTAAAGGCCAGTGAGAAAATGATTTCAAAAAACAAATTGCAAAATTCAAAAAAAAAAAGTCTGATGTAGAAAAAAATGCTAAAACAGGAAAATTCGCTAAAATGTGTGTGCTTCATAAATAAATAATCAAATGCTTCAAAACACAATCAGTTTATTTCTTATAAAGCCACAGACTGACCGACTTGAATTGCACGTTTTGGGACAAACATTTCCCATCTTATTTTAGCATACTGATAAAAAAAACTCCTGTGTTTGCCTTAAAATCAGAATTTCCAGATCAGTTCTAGGATCAGTGAATGATCCTGGATGTGAGAAAGTTTGGGGCTATTTACTAAAGCAGGGATGCTCAGAATCATAGAAACATAGATAGAATGTGACGGCAGATAAGAACCATTCGACCCATCTAGTCTGCCCAATTTTCTAAATACTTTCATTAGTCCCTGGCCTTATCTTATAGTTAGGATAGCCTTATGCCTATCCCACGCATGCTTAAACTCCTTTACTGTGTTAACCTCTACCACTTCAGCTGGAAGGCTATTCCATGCATCCACTACGCTCTCAGTAAAGTAATACTTTCTGATATTATTTTTAAACCTTTGCCCCTATAATTTAAGACTATGTCCTCTTGTTGTGGTAGTTTTACTTCTTTTAAATATAGTCTCCTCCTTTACTGTGTTGATTCCCTTTATGTATTTAAATCAACAAATTCCTTTCACTTTATAGAATAAAATGGCCCTTGATTTTTAATCCTATGTTTAATAATGTGTTGAATAAAGACTGCAACCTTGACATAGAGGAACACCCCTGATCTAACCCTATCATAGATTATAGAGCTAATTGTACCCATTATACTCTAACTTTAAACAGTCAATATTTCCCTTCTGAAGTGGTGTTTCCCCTATGTAGGATACACACCTCTGTTGGTGCCACAAATCTAAAGCTTTTTATTGACACAAAGGATTAGCTGTCACAGTGCCAAAGCAACACATGACATTTTCCATACACAAAGCCTGATCTCCTGAGCCGTTGCAATCAATATTTACCTGGAACCTGTCCCTGCATTACTGTACAGCTCTGATCCCGCAGTCACAGCAGTGGTAGAGCCTGGGACATGGCTTCGAAACCAGATGGAAAGAGATCTTCCATTGCCAGTGTTAGAGACCCTGGGGACAGAGCGGCTCCCAAAATGGTAATCAGAGTTTAATGACTCCGAACATCTTTATACAGTAATACCGTACTGTATAATAATACTGAGTATCTATACACTGATAATGAACACGCTGCGCTATATAATGATCC